AAAGTTTGGAGACTGGTCTTACAATTTTAGATTTCTTACATTTGATAGTACCCTTGTGACATTATCTGGATCAGTGTGCTTCTCTTCTATCAAACCGAATAACCATTTTGAAGGAGGGAGACCATCTTCCTTAACAAGAACAACGTCACCTAATTGGGGTTCTGGTGTAGTTTTAGTCCACTTATATCTCTGATTTAGAGTCGTGAGGTACTCGGCAGACTACTTACGCCAGAACTGTTAAGTCATTTTTTTGTATTATTTATTTGCTCAATATCTTTAGAAAATGCCTGAGTTTGACAAACCTTAATTCCTATCTTTAATGCATGATCTAATTCGGAAGCCGTCAAGTAATAAGGATATCGCTTTGACCTTAATTTATTAATAAATCGAATGCAAAACGCGACCACTCTAACCGTTTTTTTGATAAAGATGAATACTTCGTCCATGTCTGGAGATCTGATCTAGCCACTTCGGAAATAGTTAGGTGATGAGACTTCAACGGCTTGGCTTCTAAATCAGTCGATATGTTTACCGTTGGCGATACATACGTGGATTCTCTTAAAAACGCAGGGCCATGGAACCAGAGTTCACAGTGGATAAATTCTTGTGGAGCCAGCCCCCGGGATGCACAATCGGCTGGATTCTGGCATGACTCCACAAGCGACCATTGGTCGTTGTTTAAAAACTGTCAGGATTTCAGTCACTCGATTTGCGACGAAGGTCTTCCATCGATTTGGCTGTCCCTTCAGCCAAACCAGAGCGATGGTGGGTTCAGTCCAAGCGTGTATCTGCGATGCAGGAATAGGTAGAATGCCCGAGACCTCAGACAAGAGCTTTGCAACCAACACTGCTCCGTAAAGCTCCAGGCGAGGAATGGATATTTGCTTGATAAGAGATACCTTAGTACGAGCCGCAATTAGACTTACTCTAACGTTGCCATAATGATCAGTCGCGCGAAGGTAGACTACCGCTGAGTATGCGTCATTGGATGCGTCGGAAAACCCGTGCAGCTCAAGGTAAGTTGTATCCTTGCTCTTATTGACCCACCTGGGCACCGTGACTTGGTTGAGAGCAGGTAAGTTGTCGCGAAAGGAAATCCACTCATCCAGCATGTTCGACGTAACTTCCTGATCCCAAAAAAGACCGGTGCTGCGTTCTTGCAAACTCTTAACTGCTAGATATGGGGCCGACGAAACACCAAAAGTAACTCTTAACAGCCTGCAGTCTTTGACTTCTTCACTAGGATTCTCTCTCCACAGTACTCGCTGGAAGTCAGTATGCTCTGGTACGACCTTGACCATTCGATACATCTTAACTATGTCCGCTGCGAAACATATAGGATAAGTACGCCAATTCATAATTATGTGTCGTAACTCTGGTTGAAGCCTTGGACCTACCAATAAATCATTGTTCAATGACTTGCCGCTGGTACCCTTACACGAAGCGTCGAAAACAACGCCGACCTTCGTTGTACTTTTGTCCTCGCGAACAACCAACTGCATGATGAGGTAGATAAACGCATCCTGGCTTAGCAGCTTCTTGTTTGTCATTAATTACTTCTATATGATTCATAGCCAGGTGGCTACATTTATTACCTTGGATTATTCTTGCTTCAAGACTGGATTATTTTCAAGTTTCTTCTTGAGCAAGTGGATTGTTGTCGCGAAAAGGAAGACCTACAACATAACGACCCAAACTGTCCCTAGTTGTAGTGGATTCAAAGTATCTTTCACAGGATTCTTCTTCCTTGGATAAAAGTGGATGATGCTAGTCAGTTTCAATCTCCCAGAACTGACGCAGCAAATCATTGATTGAGTTGTCATGGGTATGTGCGCTAATAATGTAAGGAGTATCCCCACTAACTTAAACTCGTCCCGACAGGATCCATCCCAGCTGTGTATTTTGAGCTGTCAAGGTTCCAGATGGATTTCTCAATATGCCTTCTGACAAAACCTGACCATACACATCAGCGCCCAGTAGAAGATCTATATTGCTTGGTGTACCATATCCTGGATCAGCCATCTGCAATTGCAACAATTCCGGCCAATCCTGTAATTGAATTTTCTGTGAAGGAAGAGTGGATGTTAGGCAGTTTAAAACATAGGCTTGAACGGGATAGCTAAAAGAGTTATATGTGGACTGTACTTTAAATTGAACCATATGTTTTACTGAAATACTAGATTTTTCTCCTCCTAAACCAGATATGGTACTTCGAACTGGCAACCTTCAAAGCTGCAAAAGTTGAACTGCGTGTTCACTAATAAACGAGGCTTGAGAGCCCTGATCCAACAATGTCCTAAGTGTGTGATACATACCCTTGCTGGATACATTAACTAATGCGGTAGCTAACATTACTTGACTACTTGATGTCATTTCACTGTTAGAAAAATGGCTGACAACACGCTCCACGTGATCCGCCGCCTGCGGTTCTTGTGCTGGCTCCCGCTGTTGATTAGCGGGCTGACTAGGGCCCGCCAGGGTCGGATTGTGAGTGCCGCCTTCCTGGTGCAGCAGCGAGTGATGACGTTGGCCACAGCACCGACAAGCCGTGCGTCGTTTGCACTGTGTTACCGAATGGTTAGCTCCGAAGCAATTGAAACACAGTTTTCTCTTCTGGATGAAGTCCCGGCGATTCCCGATGGCTTCTTGTACAAATTTCTTGCATTGATAAAGCAAGTGATGTCCCGAACAGAATGGGCAGGATACAGACGTCGTCACGCTGAACACCTTCGGTTTATCCGCTGCATCTTTGCCTCTAAACTCTCTTCTTTGGTTTGGTTCTAAAAACTCGAGTGCTCGATATCTTGATTCCAGGAATGATTGGAACTCGCTTAGTGTAGGCAATCGATCAGCCTGTTCGCTTAGTTTTTGTTCCCATTGTTTCTGGGATTAATTATCCAATTTTATTGTGATGAGATATATAATCAAGATGTCCCATGTCGATACAGGTATACCAAGGTTAGATAAAGCGTGCAAGCAATCATTTGTCGTATCGAGTATTTGTTTAACACCGTTGGATGACTCTGAAGATAAAGCCCTTTGGCCCACCAGCCTGGCCAGAATGCTCTTCGCGATGTAACGTTTGTTATTGTACCTTTTGTTTAATAGCTATAATCGTTATTTTCGCATCCCAATATAACATTCTGGTGATTTTCTTCAAACTTTAACCAGTGTTGTTCCAATAATTGCAATCTCGTTTCGATATATTCCCTTGTTATTCTAGACGCAGGTGACTTTTTGAAATTAATATTTGCCTTAAATATCTTATTTTGAACATCGGTTTGTAATTTAATATAACTTTCCGGGCCCATTCTTCACATTCACTAGTACTTAGCAACGAAATAGTTTTGTGTTAATCACGGTTTGTAACATTCTTTTGCACTTAAAATTGTTGTTTATCATTAGTTGTTTTCTTATCTGACTCGTATTGGACCATGTTCGACTTTCCGAGGGATGATTATGAAAATAAACTTGGATTAGAAAAACTTGTATATTCAATAAAAAATCAATAATCTACGGATACAGTGTCACTTATGACAAGGATATCATGACAACGGATTTGCGTCTTACAGCGCTCTCTAGTGACGGTTTTAAGAGTTGGAAAAAACAGGGTGAACAAATATTTAGGTCCATTTGTATGATCTTGTTGCTTATGTAATGCGGTATTCTTAGCATTGTTCTGAAAGTTTTATTTTAAAACCTTTCAAGGATCTCGACATTGCTATTGCTGGCAGTTCCCCAAAGCTGTATGCCATATGTCCATATTGGCTTTAAGATGGTTTTGTAAATTAAAATTTTACTTTCCGGCGAAAGTTGGGATTTCCCTCCAGTCAACCAGTACATATTTCTTAGCTTTATGTCCAATTGTTTTCGCTTAGACCAGATGTGCTTTTGCCATGTCAGTCTTCGATCCAGATGTATGCCAAGATATTTTGCATCTTCCGCTTGCGGTATGTTTTCGTTGTATAAGCTTACAGGTGGACAGGTTTGTTTCCTGAGGCTGAAGGTAACGTGGGATGATTTGCTTTGGTTTACTTTAACTCGCCACATATTAAACCATTTCTCAAGGTCATCTAGATGTGATTGTAAGTTTTCAAAAGCTGTTGTAGGGTCGTCAGGAACAGACATAATAGCTGTATCATCTGCGTATGTTGCAATGATAGTGTTTCTGTTGGTTGGTAAGTCTGCTGTATAGATGAGGTACAGGACAGGGCCGAGTATGCTGCCTTGTGGCACACCAGAAGTAATCTCATGCATTTGTGATGATTCTCGGTTATGTTTAATCTCAAAGCATCGTCTATTAAGATATGACTTAATAATAGCGTAATAGCTGTGTGGAAATATTTTTTTCAATTTGAATTTATATTGAAATATATAAAATGATTTAACTTAAAATAAGACATGACCTAAAGGTCTTACTTACCAGGTCATTAAATCCCTTAAAAAAACCTTCTGTCTTTGTTTTGTGACAGTCAGTGACATTTTTTTTTTTTAAGAGATTTTATGACCTGGTTACTAAGACCTTTAAGTCATGTCTTATTTTACTTTAAATTCTTAATTTTATGAAAAAAAATGTGTGCGTGTACTAGTGTACACACGTAAGAAGTGAAACTTGTTTATGGCCTTATTTTTCGAAAAATGATCTACATGCAACTTTCTAGAAATTGGTTAAATAAAGTTAAATTAGATAAAGTTTAAACAAAAGGATTTTATTATCATAGACATGAATACAAATAATACAATTATTTCACTTTACCTTTTTGCTACTAAGATTATTACAGCATTTCATTAATTGTAATAGAATTATTACTATCATTGTCATTGTCATTATATATTTTTGTAATTAATGGCTTATGGTAACTGAAATATGAAATATATGGTTTACATTCCACGAAATTTAGTGACCGAGTAAAAACTCCATCAATTGTAGTGCCAGATCTTGTTGTTGACGTTTGAGGACTGTTTTTCATGGATAAATTCAATTTATCTTTCAGAAATTCAACTAGCTTCAAAGAATTTTCCGATGCAAAATTTACATTAAAATCTCCACTTAAAATCATCGGTATTTTATAATTATTGTTACCGAGTAAAGAGGCACCTTCACTTGTGTACGGCAACAATGAATGGTGAAGAAAAAGATGGCGCGTAACGGAAAAATGTGACGCGTAACCGAAAAATGTGACGGTAAATTTTTTTCCAACGCCGATAAAGAAGTTTCACTTCAATGATAATATGGAGTGAAATGAAATGAAGATGATTAATTTGAGACATTAATCAACTGGGATGAAATTTAATGAAATGAAATGATATGGGATGAAATATAATCGCAGTAAAATGGTGGTCATTTACTGAGATTTTTTCAGTGGACTTTTTGGAGGAACCCGAGAAGTTACGTCCAGCAGCTTTGTTTCATTTTTCCACATTTGTGCACTTTCACAGATATTAAACGGTTAATAAACCACCATTATTACACATTTAAACCTGAAGAAACACTAAATAGACAAAATAAAACAAATCACACAACTTCACTCCTCGCGTTCCCGCCAAAAAGTCCCACAGTCAGTGACAGTTCGTTAGTACACATAGATTATACACATAAACATAGCATGTCAAACCATTGATAAACATTCTTTGAGGATATTGCATACGATTACCACTAAAATGTCTCTATTTCCAGCGTATAGTCAAGATTGCGCAAAAGTAACTGAAACAAAAATATCGAACATTGATGAGCGTAAGATGAATAAAATGCAATCTATATTATTTTAATAATATTGTTGACGAAAGGCTATAACGCGTTATCACCTGCAGGGGAAGTATCGCCGGCTGGTGAGGAACAGCTGCTCGCTAGTGATAACTCTACCGACGAGTATCCAGCTCCACTACAACCACCACTCCAGAATGATCTTACATCTCCTGACTTTTATCTCGATACCAAGTTCGACCCCGGTAACCTGCGAGTCTCAACCTTGTACTATCCCGGCCGACCTGAGTAAGTGTTTTTAATTTCATTTTCACACTGTCCACATCTCGATGAACTGTAATTAGAAAGTTGATTTTACTTCAAGCTTTGAAATATTATTCACTGATGGGAAAATTATGCTCGAATGTTTTTTTTTGTACCTATTTACTGGTAGCGTAAGGGCTATTCCAGCTTCTCATTTACAGGCAGCTGAGCTCATGGACTCAACCTGAGAGAATTTGCTAACACTAACCTTAGCAATAGCAGTGCTTTGTAGAATCTACCACCGCATCGGAATCACAAAATGTTGTCCTAAATGAATCTTTTCTTGAACCTCAGCCTAGAATAGCATCACCTCATCTCTTCCCTTGGGAGTTGTAAAAAGGTGATTATGGTATTCAGTACAGAAGAAAAGAAATTAATTCTAAGGACTGATGGTAAATGGCCAAAAATATCCCTGGAAATGCACCGTGAATACAATAAAAGAAAATAATAGAAATTTAGAGCAGTTAAATATATTTTTAGACATTCTATCTCTAAAGGAGAGAAAAGCAGAAATATATTTAGAAAATTTTATTCCTTGATAATTTTCACTAAATTTATTATTTTTTTATTGCTTAAATGCGTGGATGAGCTTACAGACCACCTGGTGTTAAGTGTTTACTGGAGCGCATAGAAATCTGCAACCTAAATGCCGCTACCCACCTTGAGACACGAGTTCTAAGGTCTCAGTATAGTTACAACAGCTGCCCCACTCTTCAAACCAAAACGCATTACTGCTTCATGGCACAAATAGACAAGGTGGTGGTACCTAACCGTGCAGACTCACAAGAGGTCATACCGCCAGTAGTTACGCAAATTATAATTTTGCGGGTTTATTTTTATTACACGATGTTATTCCTTCACCGTACAAGTTAATCGCGAACATTTTATTAAGTACGTATTTCATAAGAAAAATTGGTATCCGCCTGCGGGATTCGATCACTGTTGCATCGCTAGATACGGTTGCACCGGATGTCTTATCCGTTAGGCCACGACAACTTGATTAATACTAATACTAACACGACATTAATACTTCATAAATGCTAGGTAGACTTGAAAAGTTCTTTATGCAAATAGTGAAATGTAAAGTGCACAATGATAACATATGGATGTTATAGAGGGGAGCGAGTCATAATTAAACAAGATGAATGTCGAGAAAATGTATTTTTGTATGAATAAGCATAAAAATAACCCCTTAAACTAAAAATTGTCATTAATTACACTATTTATTTAACAAGGTCTAATAAGGTCTGATAAAATTTGTCTGCTCTTAACATTCTATTCGTAGTCTTCAGTTTACCTGTGATCATGAAGCTGGCAACAACACTGAAGTATGGGGAACTCATTATACATGAAAATCATGGTAAAGACCTGTTAAAGAATAGTGTGTGTAATGTAGGTATCCACAAAGTGTGCAACAATTTGTAAAAATGTGCCTCAGAATTCCAAATTTAGTTTTGATTGGGCAGCAGGGCAAGGAAAAACATTTGACTTTACTGTACCCTTGGCATTTTTTGTGACGTCATAAGCAACAGTGATCTTCCACCATGTCAAAACTCAATAGATATGTGACTAAATCACGCTATGCTTTGTTTGGTATAATATTTTCTAATGGTATTGTTGCTTTTGCTTAGTGTGTAGTAATTGAAGCTAGCAGTAGAAGTAACACTAATAACATTATGACTTTGTAGTCATCTGGTTATTTCCGGCATATGATCATTTATCTGTATAACTTATTAATTTCAGGTACAAGGCCATAGGTAGAGTAGTGGGTAAAAAACGCAAGCGTCGAAAAAGTGAGGAGCGCTCATTCCGCTACTGGGAGGTGAACATCCCAGTAGCGGACCTCAGCGCCGAGCTGGCTGCTAGGGAGCGGGCTCTCACTCAACAACTAGAAAAACAACCCAACGACGTCGCCCTGTGGCTCAGGTTTATCGACTTTCAGGTTAGTGTCATTAATCCAAAGTACATTCTAAGATCACACATTATATCTGAAAATTTTCCAGATCTTTTCTAGGTATTGTCACTTTTTTATTTCTATTCTATCAGCCCACAGATGTCCACTGCTGGACATAGGCCTCCCTCAAGCTTTCTCAGAGCAGCTCCGCTTCCTGGTTGCAAAAACACAGACTAGACTTGTCGCTGCCGACCGTCGTGCCTATGATGCTCGGCAGTGACGAGTCTTGGCAGACGATACTCGACTTCTACGAGTCCACCATCTCGCAAAAGAAGGCTGCGGAACAGGAGAGGGAGAGCTCTTCTTCCCTCTTGGCGCCGTCGAGCCGGGGGTGGGAGGAGGGCGTTCGTCCAACTCCGACCCTGTGAGGAAGCAGTCTCTGGGTCACGGGGCCTGGTAGGGCTGCCGTACCGCGAGGACCAGTGTCGTTGGTCGTCGACGACCCGTTATCGCGGGTGTTGACCGCGGGTACCTCCTCTACTCTGACCGGGTTCTGGCCCGGGCGGAGATCTGACATCGGGTGTGAAAGTGCAGGGGAGTCGTTTGATGCGATAGAGCCTTAAAAATATTCTCGGGTCCGCGATCTGCTCTATAGATTATCAAGTCCCATATATCCCGTGCGCCCCCTAGGCGCGGGAACCTCGCAGGAAGTTCAGCCCCCGACCCGAAAAAAAAAAGATCCTATCTCTCAACTTGAACACTAAAAACCAAAGACGACGAGAAAGAAGGGCCAAGTTTTATTAAAGTTCATTAGTTTAGTATTGTATTGTATAAAAAGATAGTTTGAAAGAAAATATCTCCAGGAAGCTTGGCGAGGCCCCGAGGCAGGCCTGCGGGCGGCCGAGCGCGGCGCGGCGGAGTGCGGGGAGGGGGAGTGCGGGGAGGGGGAGGCGGGGCGCGCGGTGCGGGCGGCTCGGCACCGCGCCCGCGCCGCGCACCTCGACACGCACCAGCTGCTGCGCGTGCTGCAGCAGGACGCGCACGACAGCGCGGCGCGGGCGGGGCCGCAGCGGCTGGAGGCGTGGGTGCGCCTGCTGCAGGAGGCGGGGGCGCGGGGGGGCGCGGCGCGGGGGGCGCGGCACCTGCAGGAGGCGCTGGACCGGCTGCGGCCGCTGCCCCCCGCCTACCCGCACCTGCTCTACGTGTACGGTGAGTCCCGTGCACTCCTATACAGGACCAGCTCCGGTAGTCACTGTGCGCCGGGCGGCCGGGAGCTCGTCGACCCATCTAAGCAATGAAAAAAGAACCACTATTCGTAACAGCTTTCACACATTGAAGGGGTCTGGAGGACCCCACTGAGAACACTGTCAAAAAGTTATTTGATCAGTACCAATATTTCTACAGCAACGGGGTTGTGTGCCTATCTACATAATGAGCAACAAGCTATTGAACAAAATCGCATATCAAATAGTCGTAACGTAAACAAACTATGATAAGAACTTGAATTTGTGAAATCTTAAATCTAAAATACGAAAAGGCTTAAAAAAATATGCAGAACCGCCGGCGCCGGCCTCCTGCTAAAGCCTGCACTCTTACAGTGTCACAACTATGCCACAAAGCGAACTCTGGGTGTGAACTTGTTTTTCAACTAGGAAGCTTAGTAAAAGAGCAGCAATCACTTGGAATCCTTAAACCAAGAGTTACAATTTACAATTACACTCACAATTTGTCTCTTTAAAAATCGGCAGGTGGCGAGCTCCGCCGCCCGCGCCCGTTAGCGCGTTGCCGCACACTTGTCGGCCGAGGGTACCGTCACTAATTTTGAATCAGTTATAAGTAGCCAATGTTGACAAAACATGCTTTAAGTCGAATCTTAATTAAGACTTTGCCCAGGTACCTCTCAACGTGAATTAAAGTTATTATTCAATAATAATTAATCACGTTTGAATCACCTGGTATCGAGACGACATATAGTTGTATTGGTATACAAATAGTAGAAATGGATATCAAAACCACCATCCGCGATCGGTCGGCACATATTTTTAAGTCAGGTGGTCATTGATTAGGGTCATATTTGAGCGACGCCGGTCTGTGGGAGCAGCTGGTGCTACTGATGGAGCTGGTCGCCGCTATGAACTTCCCCCCTGCCGGATTTCCCCCTCCGCCGGATCCCGACAGAGATGCGGCTCTTGAAAAGCAACTCCACGAATTTGAGGATAAGGTATGTTATTCTATTTTATTAAAAATGAGTTGCGAATATAACCGTTACCGTGACGTCAACGAGCGACGCGTCCTCGGGGCGGGGCGCGGGACCGGCCACAATCGACTCACCTATTGAAAACTATCTATCCAATTCATTTTTTTCACTATTGAACTACGAATAATAAAACTATAGAAAAGTAATTACGCTTCAAAAATCTATGTAAATAGCTACCGCAGAGGGCGTGGCATAAAATAGTTACCGAACGGCGCCCCAGTTCGCTGTGGCACTCGTTACGACAACTGTTTAGTCTTTCCCTTACGAAAAAACAAAACACTAGTGTATCAGTAAAAAAAAAAACAGGCAGTTGAGCACACAAATTTGTAGGGCGTGGTTGTACGGTCGATCTGACCCTCCCTCTGTAGGCTACCCTCCTGAATTCCGGCAGCCAACGGACGTGGGTTGACCCGCTGAAGCACCACGCCTGGACTCCTGGAGGTCTCCTGGGCTAGCTAGATCACCAGGGTGCGGGTTACTGTGCGGAGATGACCTTTTCAGCATAGACGCAGATTATCAAGCGAAGCAAGAAGCGTGAAAGGCAGCAAGGCATGAACCCTGGAAGCGATAAGATCAATTGCGCAAATTGGTTTATCTACCTTCCGATCTGGTTGACCAACGAGAACTCGAGCAAGGTACCCACATCTTGTGGCGAGATTATCGTGGTAGTGGTATACCAGAACGGAGTAAATGCACAATAAAAAATTAATCCGCCTGGACCCGCTTGACGGCGGCTGGATTGTGCGTCTCTCACGCGCCCCGCCGCCTCCTTCTACGAGATGGTGCACTTGCAGAAGTCGAGCATCGCCTTCCACGACTCGTCGTCGCCGAGCATCGATGCCACAACACTCGGCAACGACAAGTCGTTTCCTATTTTTGCGACGAGGACACGGCGCCACCCCTCCAATGCGGGGCAGGCGATGAGCGTATGCTCTGCCGTGTCCAAGTCGCAACCACAATGGTGGCACTCTGCCGTCGGCTCGGCTGTGATCCGGTGCTCACCGAAACAACCATGCCCAGTGAGCATCTACGTGACCCGGAAATTGAGGCGTCCTCTGTCACGATTCACCCAATCCACAAGGACCGGGCGAATCGCCTCGACGGTCCTACGACCAGCCGAAGGATCAGCCAGCCGTCTGGACCATGACTCCAGTACGGACCGCCGAGATTGGGCCCTCCGCGCTTTGACCACACTGGGGCTGGGACGCGCCACGCCCCGGGCACGAAGGTCAGCCCGCCACTGATATTCAGCGGCGAGTGCCTCCGCTTCCAGAACCCAAGGCGGCGTCCCAGCCAGTACACACGACGCCTCAAAGGAGATGGTGCGATAACCACGGACCCTGTATACAGTAGTATTGATTTTAAGTTTAATTTCCATATTATGTACTAACTTATAAACTGCATTTATTTTTATTGCAGTAATAAAGTCATTTAATAAAAAAACGAGAAAATATTTCATGAATTCATTACTACTGCATAGCGTCATCGTCATAAGGGTGCCCTGGGTGGTGCTTGCGAACCGTGACCTTGGCGCGACCAATCGCGTGCAAGCGTTTGTTTATGAAAGAATGTGAGTGTTCGTGGTATTTGCTTTTATTTGTGTGCGTAAATGGAAACATAATTTAAAGTGCAATTGAAGGCGAGTTACTGTTCCACAGTTTTGGCTAGGCTAGGGACTCGTAACGAGCGAGGGCAGTTACTCCTCGACTTCTGTGCGGAAAACAATGTTTCAATCATGAACACCCAGTTCCAGCATCATCCTCGAAGGTTGTATACATGGATCTCCCCTAACGGTCAACATAGAAACCAGATTGACTGCCATGATAGGAAAACGATGGAAATCATCTGTCCTGAATGTTAAGACCAGACCAGGTGCAGATTGTGGCAGTGACCACCAACTACTTGTTGCAAAAGTTAAAATCCGTCTTAAGTCAATCAAACAGCAGAAACCTAGGAAGGTGGTGGACATATCGGGTGGAGCACAGGAGTTGTTTGCCAATGCCATTAAGGAGCGGTTGCGTGATTTTGCCGTAGATCTCTTCGACTCTGCAAATGTTACCTGGGAACAGTTGAAACAGATAACCTTGCAGACAGCGAGAGAAGTCGTCGTATAGAACACCCTAAATCACCTTGGATGTCCGAAGAAACATGGTCAGCTATCATCAGAAGAAAAGCCCGAAAGGAGGATGGTCTTACGACTGACGCAGATAAGCATGAGTACAGACTGCTGCATCATGAAGTCCAAAGACTTTGCAAACGTGATAGAGATGCCTATATAAATACTGTCTGCGATGACATTCAAAGGGATTCTGAACGCATGCATTCTAAGGACATGTTCCGCAGAGTGAAGCTGTTGGCCAAAGAGTACAAGCTGAAAACCTGGACTATCGAGGACGACCGTGGTAACCTCATCATTGACAGGCAGGCTGCGCTAGACAGATGGAGGAGATGCAGCGAACAGCTATATTGCGAAAAGGGCTGCAATGATATCGAAGAAAGGGTGGACTATAACCAACATGAGCCAGATATCCTTCTTCAAGAAGTTGAGGCAGCAATCAATAGGCTAAAGCAAAAAGCATGCGGGAGGGACAGCGTAACCGCTCTAATGTTAAAGAGCCTAGGCTCGGATGGTACCAAGATTTTACACTCCATTTGCCAGAAAGTATGGCGTACTGGCCAGTGGCCTGAAGACTGGACGGAATCAATATTAATTCCTCTCCATAAAAAAGGCTCCACGCGCAAATGTAAGAACTACAGGACTCTACTATCTACTACTATCTCCATAATCTCGCATGCCAGTAAAATTCTCCTCCATATTATCAATAAAAGACTGGAGAGTTTTACCAGTAGGCAAATCGCAAAAGAGCAAGCGGGTTTTGTTAAGGGTCGAGGAACCAGAGAGCAGATCTTAAACATGAGGCAGTTGATCGAAAAGGCAAGGGAGTTCAACGTCCCGCTGGCTCTCTGCTTCATTGACTACGCCTAGGCTTTTGACTGCATCAACTGGAAGAACATGTTCGACATGATGCAAGAAATGGGAATACCGGACCACCTCGTCTCCCTTGTTCACTCTATATATGGATGGAATTACGAGAGTCAGAATGGACAATGAGTTTTCCCATCCATTTAAGCCCGAACGTGGAGTCAGACAGGGGTGTATTCTCTCCCCACAACTCTTCAACCTCATCGGTGAACACATTATGAGGCTCGTTCTGGAGAACTGGGAGGGGGGTGTTCGTGTAGGAGGCCACCGAATTAAAAATCTTCGTTTCGCTGATGATACCACTATAATCGGTACCTCGGAGCGAGAGCTGCATGAGCTTCTGAGGAGAGTGGAAGTCGTTAGTAGTCGTTAGACTTTGCATCAACCGATCCAAAACGAAATTGATGTTTGTCGATAGAGCTGGCACAATGACACGCAATCACGAACTGCGTGACCTGGACGTGGTGCAGGAATTTGTGTACTTGGGGCCAGTGACGGTGATTGTGACAGGGAGGTGGTCAGGAGGGCCCAGATGTCAAAATCAGCCGTGAAGCGATTGGAGAAGATTTGAAGAAATCGCAGCATAAACAAAAAAACTAAGATAAAGCTCATGAGAACCCTTATCTTCTCCATATTCTTGTACGCTTCTGAGATGTGGACCCTCAAGGGCCGTACACGATCGAGAATTGACGCATTTGAAATGTGGTGTTGGCGCAAAATGTTGGGCGTATCATGGACGGAGCGCCGAACAAATGTGTCAATTCTCGAGGACCTAAACGTCAAGACCCGTCTATCTACAATCTGTATGTAGCGTCTCCTCAAGTACTTCGGACACGTGGCCCGACAAAATCCTGAGAACTTGGAAAAATTTATAGTTGTAGGTCACGTGGAAGGAAAGAGAAGTCGAGGAAGATTGCCAACCAGGTGGACGGACATGATCAAGGAGGCCACAAACACCAGCGCCATTAAGCAGGCCGAATGCAGGCAACATTGGAGGAAGCTGGTGGAAAAACTGGACCAGAGTGGTCACGACCCTCAGTAATGAGGAAACGACAAAGAAGAAGAAGAAGAAATAAAGATTCTAAATATTTTGAAACTTTTTGATTTCGGCCATTTTAATTTTGTTATTAGTAAATATCGTATCAAGTTTAATTACATAATTTGTAATATAGGTCATGGGCAGTGGCTTACCGCAGCACGTGGTGTGGGCCCGCATCGAGCGAGCGCGCGGCGCCGCCCACTGGCGCCCCCCCGCCGCGCCCCCCGCCCTCCCGCTGGGCGCGGACGCCGACCCTCAGCGCTACCCGGTGGCAGCCGACGTGGCAGCCCTGCTGCTGCCCGTGGCCGATCCGCAGCATTCCTTCATGCTCTGCGTCAACCTCTTGCGACTGGCCAAGGTACGTGCGCGACGACGCGACACTTTGTCTTGCGACGCGAGACGAGGCGGCGGCGTCACGCGGACTGTGCCGGCTGCAGGTGCCGCTGCTCCCCGGCGCAGAGTACGTGGAGCGCGCGTGCGGGCCCGCGGGGCTCGCGGCGGAGGAGAGCGGGGGCGCGGGGCGGGGCGGCGCCGAGAGCCTGCTGCCCGCCCTCCGCGCCGCGCGCCGCCTCCCCCCGCACCATCCCGCGCGCCGCCGTGCCGCGCACGCGCCCGACCTCGTGCGGCTGCTGCTGGACCCGCCACACTACTTCACCGACGACGCCGGTGAGTGACCTGCCCCCGCGCCCCGCGGCACCCTCACACCTCCCGTGACCTCTTCGCGTATCCTCAGGCTACCTGAGCTGGGTGAATTCGCTGTGGGAGGCGTGCCTGTCCTGGACGAGCGGCTCCCGGCGACTGGCGCTGCTGTGCTGGAGGCTGCGTTGGATGCACTCCCTGATGCTGCTTCTCGACCCGGAGGTTATTTCTTCGTCAAAAAATCTATGAAATTTCCGAAGCACGGATTGAGCACGTATATTCCGAAAAGTTCAGCAGTCTAAACGAACTTTAGATATTGAACGTGAGGGTGCGGCTCACAGACGGAGAGCGGCGCGGCGGAGTGCGGGCGCATGCGGCGCGAGGCCCGCGGCGTGCTGGCGCGCTGGGCCGGCGAGCACGCGCTGCCCTACGTGCTGCTGGCGGCGCTGGAGCCGCGCTACGGGCCGCGCGCGCTGCGGGCCGCGCTGGCCCCCCCCTGCCCCCCCGCCGTGCGCCTGTACGCCGCGAGGGGGGCCGGCGGGGGGGCGCGGGGTGCCGTGTGCGCCGCGGTGCTCGGCCGGAGGGAGCCGTGCGATCCCGACGCGACCACCTTGCAACTCGCTTATGAACACGTAACTTTCGAATAAAATATGAATTTCCCCTTTTTATTTTTCTTATTTTCTTTTGAAGTGTAGCAAATTTGGACCCCGTCGTGTTTTATACATCTTAACAAATCAACAAAGAATGTTGAAGGAAAAGCTAACGAACACTCCGCATGAATTCCGGTGTGCGGGGAGGGGGGCGGGCTCGCCGAGCCGCGTGGCGCTGCAGGGCGCGGGCGTCCATCGCAAGCAGCTTGGTCATGTTTCAATAGTTGCATCAGTCCCACATCCACACGGCCGGGGGTTTGAGTTTGTCACACGTAGACTGGCCAGTCCATAACGTGCCGCGTCCAATGTTTCAGTGCGCCGAGCGGTGTGCTGAGCTAGAGAAGCGCTGGACGGAGGAGGGGTGCGAGGAGCGGGACGGGGCGGAGTGTGCGCTGCTGCCGTGCGAGGGGGCGGAGTGGGGGGCGGCGCGGGTCAGCCTCGCCTCCCCCGCCCAGCGCCGCGACATCCTGCGGGACGTCCTGCACTACTCTGCTCTGCCTAATGTTGGTATATTAGGCTGTTTATACTGGTGCTGTTACCGTGCGCTCAGTAGTTCAATTGTCTTGTCGTTACAGAAGAGCGCCTCGCACTCGCGGTACTGCGAGCAGACGGCGTGCGCGCTGGCGGCCGGCGGGGCGGCGGGGCAGCTCGCGCCGCTGTTCCCGCACAACGTCTACATCCAGCTCGGTGAGGCCGCGCTCCCTCGCCGCCCCGCCTCACCGAGCGCTCCCCTCACGCGCGGCCTGTTGCAGCGGCTCGCGGGGCCGGCGCGGCGCTGTCCGTCCCCCGCCCGGTGACGTCACACGCGGCCGCCCTGGCGCGCGCCCTGCCCGCCCTGCTGGCCGCGCTGCGCTCGCGCTGGGAGCCGCCGGACGCCGAGCGCGCGTACCGGGCGTGCGGCGCGGGGGGCGCGGGGGGCGCGGCGCTCGGCGTGTGCCGGCTGGAGGCGGCGCCGCACTGCGCCCGCCCGCGCACCGCCCGCGCGCTGCTCGCCGCGCTGGACCTGCTCCCCGCACACAAGGTGAGTGCGAAGAGGAGAACACTAAGCCGCCACCCACCTTGATTTATGAGTTCTAAAATCTCAGTTTACACAGTAACTACAACGGCTGCTCCACCCTTCAAACCGAAACGCATTACTGCTTCACGGCAGAAACAGGCAGGGTGGTGGTACCTACCCGTGCGGAGTTGCAATTTGTTCTACCGCCAATAAAAATTGTTAGATCCCCTGGATTCACCCTCGGTGCCTCTCGAGCACCGGTCACCGTCCTCGTCGATTATGACGAAGAGTTCGACGAGCGAACTAACCCATAGACACAGCCCCCTGAATTTCTCGCCGGATCTTTTCATGGGTTTGCGATTCCGATTCGTTATTTGATTCTGCGAAGCACTGCTCTTGTTAGGGCTAGTGTTAGCAATTATCTCAGGTTGAGGTCGCGAGCAATGTCCAGCAGTGGACTGCCGCAGGCTGATTATGATGATATGATGAGGCCGCGAGCTCACCTACTCGTCCCCGTGTAGTTGTCCCCTTAGCTACCAACGAATAGGTAAGAAAAATAAAAACACGTGGGTACGAGGTGCGAGTGCGAGTGCGGGTGCGAGTGCGAGTGCGGGCGCGTGGCGCGATGCTGAGGCGGCGCGACTGTGGCAGTGGGTGTACGTGCGCGGCGCGGCGTGGGGCGGCGCGGCGGTGTCGGAGCTGGCGGACGCGCTGCTGCACCGGGAGCTGCGGCTGCACACGCTGCTGGCCGAGCTGCAGCAGGGCCCCGCCGACTCCACCTAAACCTCTACCAGCCGACCGGCTGTCATTACATCTTGTATTCAATCAATGTTACATTAATATAGTTAGTAAAATAAATAAAATGAATCTAAAAAAACGTGAGTTCTTAATTATTTGGAAGTTATTGTTTTATACATAGCATATTACACAAGCACCATTTCAATAGATCGCGGACCGACATTACATTCTTCTTGTCGCTCGCGAGGTGCCGCGCTGACAGCGCGCGGTTGACATGACGGCTGTCAGTGTCAGTTCTCGATCTGCTCGACGCACAGTCTCGAGTCGTTCCTCTGTCCGTCAGAAAATATTCTTAGTAACAAAGTGCCGCGGTGGAACGTAGAGTCGGTCGCGAAGGAGTCCCAGCTTCAGCCATGCGCTACGTCACCGCGCTGCTAGCTGCCGCGCTGTCTGCCGCGCTATCTGCCGCCCAGTCGCACGCGTATCTATATACAAGTGCGATTCAATTACCAACCTTACAGTATACACGTAAAGTAGCACATTTAATAATATTTATTTACTACTACTTATTATCATTTTCCGTATTTACAAAGTTGTGCCGACAGTTACTGTTTCTCCCTATTAAATTTGTAATCCTAGAATAAATTAAAATGTGATATATTCATTTGGTAAAAAGTGTTGTAAAATAATATATAAGGTTGGGGAAAAGTTTCTTCGCATTTTTTAAGAAAATTCACAACATTTATTAACATAGTTTATTTACATTTTACTAAAGTATGTAGGTACCATTTTGTTCGATATCTTTTTGCCATCTTGTAGGTAGGCACATGATCCCATTGCTATAGAAACTTTTGGGCTTCTGATCAAAATACCGCGACAATTGGTTTTGACAGTCCTCTCGTGACGTTAACCTGACACTGCCTAAAGAATTCTGAAGAGACCGAAACAGGTGGAAATCTGAAGGTGCAAGATCAGGACTATACGGCGGATGCATTAACACCTCCCAGCCAAGCTCTCTTAATTTTTGCTGAGTGGCTAAAGATGTGTGAGGTCTAGCGTTATCATGATGACAAACCACACCCCTTCTGTTGATTAATTCCGGCCGCTTTCTCTCAACTTCTTGCTTTAATCTCACCAGTTGTTCGCAGTAGAGTTCAGAATCGATGGTCCTGTCTGATGGTAACAGCTCATAATGAATAATGTCCTTCCAATCCCACCACACACACAGCATCACCTTGTTGCGAGTTAACTCGGGTTTCGTCACAGTCTGTGAAGCCTGACCGGCCTTTGACCACGACCTTTTTCAGACGTTCTTGTCGTACGTGATCCACTATTCATCACCAGTTATCAGCTTCTTCAAAAATTTTTCGGTTTCATTACGTCGTAATAAAGAATCACAAATGAGTACACGGTTTCATTAGGTTTCTTTTAGTGAGCTCGTGAGACATCCAAATATCGAGCTTTTTTGTGTACCCAGTTTTTTTCAAATGCGCCAAAACTGTTTTGTGGTCCTTTTTTCTTTTTCCCCAACCTATTATATTTACGGAGCCAGATTATTACCCGAGCACATTAAATACCTAAACCTTCGCAACAGCGCCTGGCCGCGCTCGGGCGGCAGCGCGCGACCTTCTGGTGTCAGCGGTCAGTAAAGGCGATACATTAGCAAATCAAATAATTTTCGAGAACTTTATAAGAAACAAAGAGGTGGCAGGTAGATGAGCTCACGGCCCGTCTGCTCTTTATTATCGGACCCATTGTTATAAAAAATTAATGTTATTAGTGGTAAGGCGTACTGTGGGCCCGTGCGGGTACATGCCCCTATCCTGCGTAGTCCTACCACGAGGCCGTCATACGTTTGGAATTGAAGGGTGGTACAACCTTAATATACATAATTATTATACTAAATAAACGAATATTTAAAAAAAAAAGGTCACACTAAAGCCTTCGTCAAACAGAACGCGTACTTAGCGCGCGTCAGAGCGCTAAACTGACGCCGCGCTATCTCCCAAATGCTAATAGAAAAAAAAAGTTTACAAAGAAGCGAACGATAGTTAACAACAGTTTTTCGTTTGCACATTTAAATACTTATACATAGATCATTAGCCGCGCCACGTGACACCTGACCCGGTCACAGGTGCAGGAGGAAACGTAACCAGCAAGGAAGGCGCCGAGCCGGAGCCCGCAGGAGACCAGCTCGACGCCGACGACGAGGGGGACTCCGCTTCTTTTGCGGTAACCACTACTCTTATGGGCCACCATTCGGTAATTCGATTAACATGGGTAATTAGGAAATTCATTTCCAAGACTGCCGTCACGCTTACAGAATATGTTAGAACTTCTCGTGAACGATCTATTATTTCCGACTTGCCCTGAGTCGAGAATAATAGATCGTCCGCCGGAACGAAGATTCTTTTTATCAAAAAGGTATCCTGTTATTAACGTTTCATTACTATTATAGGATATAATATAGGGTACAAAATCGTGAATCATAAATAATCGAAAAATATGTAATCAAACATTGAGGTAATCCACTCATGCGTCATGTCAAGTGTCATAAATCGCAATTATTGCCGTCTCATCGATACTCGCACTCCTGCCCGTGTGTACGCGCCCTGGTGTACGTACATCAAGGTAACCTTTGACGTCTGTTAGTTTTATATTCATAGTGAGGAGACCTGCTTAAATACATCGATTAAAGTGAATGAATCGATACGGACTTGAAACACATTAATATGTGAATGTTAAAAATCATCAGGCGAATTCCTGTCCCATTATTATTTTTTCTTTCGTAAATTTAAAGAGCAAATTAAAACAAGTACATAATTTAACAAAAATATTGCATTTATTCAGTTGAACTATCAGAACTGTTATTGCCTGTATATATATGTGTAATATACCTGCAAATTATAGTACATTATGTCGAAGAGAAATGTGTTTTTATGCATTCGTTCTTTGAATTTCTTTAGTGACACAATGGCAACTCCTTTGTTTTGTATCAAAACGGCAGAGTTTATTCAAAATAATATTTGCACGTGTTGTTATCAACAACGTGTTAAAAAATTTCATTGAAATTAGAATAGATCCCGAAAAGTTACAAAGTGTTAATTTCCGCCGTTCTCGCTAACTTGCTGCGGCGATATGTGGTGTAAACACTTACATCGAACACTCGATTAGTGTTTTTCTTTCATTTTTATTACTAACCCACAAAATGACAAAACTAAATACACTATCGACAACAATAATGTGCATCACTATGCCTGTCCATAAGGCTCGTGAATGGAAGAGAGAGCGAATTATTCGCTTCACTGTTCCGATTTTTTATGACCCAAACTGCACGGACAAAATAATTCTACTATAGTGTAAGAAAAAAGTATAGATCATATTTATTGAATCACGTGACAGTAAACGTCAGCATGTCCTCTAAGTCATGTCTATATATTTCTTAATTTTATGAAAAATGATAATATGGAGTGAAATTAAATGAAAATCATTAATTTGGGACATTAATCAACTGGGATGAAATAAAATAAAATGAGATGAGATGATATGGGATGAAAATACATAAACTCAGTAAAATGGTGGTCATTCACTGAGATTTTTTTCAGTGGACTTTTTGGAGGATCTCGAGAAGTTACGTCCAGCGGCTTTGTTTCATTTTCCCACAACTGTGCACTTTCACAGATATTAAACAGTTAATAAACCATCGTTATTACACATTTAAACCCGAAGAAACACTAAAGAGACAAAATAAAACAAAATCACACAACTGTACTCATCGCGTTCCCTCCAAAAAGTCTGACTTTTTCATAAAACAGAAAGAACAGATTATCTACATACTTGATATTGTTTATAGTATTTACAATGATTTGTCACGTTAATACAATTAGTGGCCAATCGACCATTAAATTTTCATTTCCTATCAAATTTTGTTTTTTCTTTAACTAATATAATTAAAGCAGAGGAGAACCAGTAAAGGAAATTGGAGTTACCTCGTATCACTTTCACAGGTACATTATCAGTAATAATTTTGTCTAAGATTTTATGAAACTTGCCCACGGCTATCTAAGTTCTAACATCTAAGTTCATAAAAGATTGCTTCCAATCAATTTTCGAAAGTTCCTCTTTTTTTCCCTACCTATTCTAGTTACCTCGAGGGGTTATTCTATATTCACTGAGCTAGTAGGTGAGCTCACGGGGCTCAAACCGGAGTGTTGCTAACACTGACCCTAGCAAGAGCAGTGCTTCGTAGAATCTACCACCGGATCGGGAACGCGACTCACTGAGAAGATTCGGCGAGAAACTCAGTGGATTGTGCCTATGTGTTAATTTACTCGTCGAGCTCTTCGTCACAAGGGACGGCTTCGGCGAGGACGGTGACCGGTGCTTGAGGTACCTAAAAGCACCATTAATGGATCGGGAGGATCTGTCATGACGTGTTTAGGGTGACGTCGACTGTTTACCATTCGGTCCACCGGATCGGGTCTGTAATTACTGGCAGCCACGACAAGAGGGTTTTCATGTCGTGCCGCCTTCTCAAAGTGGCGCAATGATACCGACTGTAGATAATTACTGACTGAGTCTAGCTATAGGTCATCATAGAGATCCACGTTCCTTAGGAACCATGGTGCTCCGACGGCTATCCTGCAAAAACGGGATTGAATGACTAGAAGGGATTTAAAGTTGGTGCGCCGCGTGAGTCGTGAGCGAACACTACACTTGCATAGGTCATGACGGGGCGTAAACAAGTTTTGTAGTGTCACCTTATTACGAAGAAGTTCCTCGTTAATAATAGAAGAGTCGCTTTTATGGAAAAGCAATATACGAGGAGGATCAAAAAGTAGTGAGAACGACATACTCCTTGGTTAGAAAAAAAAAATACTTGCAGGCATAGCTCGGATACATATTTGTAATATAAATAAAGAAAAAAATCTTCGATTCTCTTTTGTTTTTTTCTAAATGTAGTCATTTGTTTGCTTCGTGTCGGAACGTGTTATTAAATACCTCTGCTTAAAAAAGTTAACGACGCAGGATATTAATTGCGATTTGGAGGCAACATTAGGAGAGTCTGCTCTGCCGTATTCCACTGTCGCAAAGTGGGCTTCTCAATTTCAAGTAGGGAGAACGAGCACGGAAGACGAATATCGTTGCGGCCGTCCATCGACGTCAGTCACCCAAGAAAATGTTGCGAAAGTCGAGAAAATTGTATTGAGCGATCGATGAGTTACCATCCGATACTTAATACAAGAAACGGGCATTTCATATGGAAGTATTCAATCCCTATGAGTAAAGTATCCGCAAGATAGGTGCCGAGAATGTTAACCGACAGTCGGAAACAAAATTGACTTGATATTTCGAAGACATTGTTGGACAAGTTTTAAGAAGATTCTGAAAACTTTTTGTCTCGTTTCTCAATAATGGACGAAACATTGGTCCATCATTTTGATCCAGAGACGAGACAAAACAGCAAACTTCGCAATGGAAACAGCCATCATCACCGACCCCGAAGAAGTTTCGTGCCGTGACATCGGCTGGCAAGGTTATGGCCTCAATGGTTTGGGACTCAGAAGGGATATTGTTGATTAATTACTTGGAGCGTGGAATCACTATTACAGGCCAATATTATGGAGCTTTAATTTCCAAGTTGAAGAATGCCATCAAAGAGAAAAGGAGAGGGAAAATTTGAAGGGTCGTGCTTTTTCATCACGACAACGCACCCGCGCACAGGTCCAACCCCTCTTATTCACCAGATCTGGTGCCTAGCGATTTTTATCTGTACCCAAAATGAAAGAATACTTAAGGAGAAACAGGTACAAAGACGATAACGAGGTGATGGATGCCGTGGAGAGCTTTTTGCAGAACCAAGATAAAACTTTTTTTTTGAAAGGGATTGAAGCCTTCGTGGCTTTGAAGTCGTCGTGCCCTAACGGATAAGACGTCCGGTGCATTCGTGTTGAGCGAGGCACCGGTGTTCGAATCTCAGGCGGGTACCAATTTTTCTAATGAAATACGTACTCAACAAATGTTCACGATTGATTTCCACGGTGAAGGAATAATATCGGGTAATAAAAATGAAACCCGCAAAATTATGATTTGCGTAATTACTGGTGGTAGGACCTCTTGTGAGTCCGCGCGGGTGGGTACCACCACCCTGCCTATTTCTGCCGTGAAGCAGTAATGCGTTTCGGTTTGAAGGGTGGGGCAGCCGTTGTAACTATACTTGAGACCTTAGAACTTATATCTCAAGGTGGGTGGCGCATTTACATTGTAGATGTCTATGGGCTCCAGTAACCACTTCACACCAGGTGGGCTGTGAGCTCGTCCACCCATCTAAGCAATAAAAAAAAAGCCTATCTCATTCTCACTACTTTTTGATCCCTCCTAGTAGACGGCCAGGAGAACGAAGAGCTCTCACGTTCAGCCCCTGAGTCTGAATCTAAAGCTGGATGGTGACCATCCTCGAATACAAAAGGGGGGGTGGGGCGAAAGAACAACCTTACAAGTATAGTTACTTATTACTAAATCGAATATCTTTTATTTATACTAGAAATCGAATTAAATTGTTTAAAAATATTAAAAGCTAAAAAATTTGAAAGACCAAAGACAAGTAAGTCCCGTTGATCACCATCCAAGTGAGGAACTGGACACAATGATGCAGAAGCCCGCGAATCTCCGGCTGCGCCTACCCGACAATGTTCGAACTCATACGACACATTGGTCGATCTCTAAGCGAAGTTAGGGGGAAGCTTTGTGTCATTCAGTACTCTCCAGACCTTGCGCCCGCAGAGTTCTGCTTTTTTCAAAGTTTGGACAGCTTCTTGGCCAGGGAAAAAATTACTCTGCCTGGGTTCTGACCCCTGGTGGAGATCGGACGTCGCGTGCAAGAGAGTGCAAGCGGTGACGTTTAATGTGTAGGGCCCTAAAATATCCTTGGTTTTATCATTATTCACGAGTTTTGCTATACATTTAGATTAATTAGATTATGTGATTGTGTTGTGTGAAGTACAACGAAATGTCGTCACAACCATTCATTCTTCAATGTATTGATACACAATGAGCATCATCGTTCCTTGCAAGCGTTAATCACTTTCCGTAGGTTATTTGTAATAAAAATAAATAATTGGATTGGCGTTTTACTGTTGTCTCTACACTGGGGCACTATGCAATAACAATACGGTTCAGGATTTCCATAAATGTCGAACTTAATAAGTATTATAATATTAAAAATGTTTTTAAGTGTAATTGTTTTTTCTTGTAATTAAGATAGTCAGCACAACTGTAGCACTAGATGTCATTTATAATGGATATAAGCATTTAAAGTTTATTGATTCCAATATTTAATTGATGCATAGTATGTGGAAATTGTGTTGGAAAGCGCATTCGTGCGTAGCGTAAACCGTTACGAATATTGGACGTAGTGTCCACGAGCCCACTGTGGCCGACCTGCGCGCTTGTGCCGCAGCTGGTGGTGGAGCGCGCAGACGGCGGGCGGTGCGGCGGCTCGCTGGTGTCCGTGCGCGCGGTGCTTACTGCCGCGCGCTGCGTGCCCGCGCTGTGGGTGCGCGCGCCCGACTCGGCGGCGGCGCGGCGGGTGCGGCGCGTGGCGGCCGCCCGGGCCCCGAGCCCCCGCTCCGCGCTCGCCCTGCTGGAGCTGGAGGAGGCCCTGCCCGGCACGCAGCCCATCCTCATGGCGACGGGCGCGGGCGAGTGCGGCGCGCCGGCCTCCTGCTACGCGGTGCGTCTCGCCTCGCCGGCCGGCTCGCGCCTCGTGATGCGCATCGCGGCGGCGATCCTGGACCGCTGCTCCGCACTAGTGCCGCGCCTGGGGCCGCGCGCCGACGACGAGCTCTGTCTGCGAGCGGACGATCTCTGCGCGGTCTGTCGTGCGCTTACTTTTGTGTTTCTCTGTCTGGTTTAGTCAAGATATATCTCGATCGCGAAACTATCCACAGAGTGAGCAGGGTGCGGGCGTGGTGTGCGCGGGCAAGCTGTGCGGCGTGGTGGGAGAGGAGGCGGCGGGCCGGGCGGGGTGCGGCGTGGTGGGAGGGGAGGCGGTGGGGTGCGGCGCGGTGAGAGGGGAGGCGGCGGGGTGCGGCGCGGTGCGCGCGGTGGCCGTGCTGTCGCGCCGGCGCCGCTTCCTGCACTGCGCGCACACGCTGCGAGCTTGCGCCCGGTGCGTTCATATCGTAAACCAAGTTTTTTTATTTAATTTGATCTTATTTATCATAACAATATTTCTGATTCCGCAGTGACAAGGAATGTTCAGCGCTATGCTCGGAGACCCTACTTTTTGAAGAGCCCACGGACGTGACAACGGACACCCTCACTTTAGAGAATATTACTTCGTTCAGGACTGCGACCGGTTGAGTTCCATTTTATATAAAGGGGATTGCCCACTCTCCATAGTGTGCTAGGCCCAAGATGGACATCAAATATTACTATAAAAATGTACTGATTCAAATTCTTAAATGTATTGGATATCTAAAAAATATATTGAAATTGACGCCACTATTATAAAAAATATAATAAAAATAAAAACTCGTTTTGAGGTTAATTTTCTATATAAATAAGTGTCGGATTGTGAGATACTTCAAGAACTTTTCTTTTCTTAATGTTTAAGATGTTCCTAATGTATTTTTATCCAATAGGGTATAAAAACACACTTAATTCTTTAAATATCTATATTTTCTTCATCTTCATACACAATTAGTATCATCTAAAAATAGCAAAGGAGAGCATATACACGGTTTTAAATCTCGGTCAGGGTAAAACCACAATTCACACAATGTTTTTTAGTCGTAGTATGAAACGTTATTGATAAAAGTAAAATAAATCGAAGAAAAATCAAAACACATCCATTTTGTACGCAAGCACAACACCACAAGCAGCAAGCGAAGTGTCAGTCAGTCAGATTAAATTCAGTGTTGTCAGTATAAAGAAAAATAATTACATGAAATTCATATATCGATTATTTTTTTAAATAACCGATAATTGATTTATATCTTAATCTTTTTTTTACGAGTACACATTATTTTTTATGTTTTTGTTTTAGTTGTACATATTTAAATAACAATACTAGTAAAGTTTTTTTTATTGCTTAGATGGGTGGGCGAGCTCACAGCCACCCTGGTGTTGCTAAGTGGTTACTCGAGCCCACATACATCTACAACGTAAATGCGCCACCCACCTTGAGATATAAGTTCTAAGGTCTCAAGTATAGTTACAAGTTAAAGTCCAATGGGTATGTCTTCGATGTTATTTTATGTGCATAAAATCCATTAAAATCGTTTGATTAATGATAATACTTAAAATGATTTATTTATATGTTTTATTTATATACTCAAAATATTTACTTCATACGTAAAAGGATTTGAAGCTGGCAATATTTTTCCCGCAAAAATAAAAATCCTTGTTTTTTCAATAGAGTTACTTTTTTTAAACTACTTATTGTAAACTATAGTGGCGCTTATTTGCAAGAAAGTAAATGCATATTTATTTATGACAAAATTAATGCACTAAGTATTTTTTCTATAATCTATTGTCCGCTTTGGGCCTAAAATGGGCCATCCCCTTTGTGAATTGTGCATATCGCGAACGAATCTTAATTAGAAATATGTGAATGTTATGCTGCAGAGGAACTAACGACAGCACGAGGCGCTCGACCGAGTCCGACGCCGACTCCCCCCCGCGGCCCCGCCCCGCCCACGCGCACGGCTTCCCCCATGGCCCCCACCCCGGGGGCCGAGATCATCTCGCGAGTCTCTTTCGAGTTCGAACCGAATCGAGCCGACTTCAAGGTAAGCGTTCCGGATGGTTTCTATTGATATCGGCCTCAGAGCACCCTAGCTGCACATCAGTAGAGGTCATAACGTGCTTTAAAGGCGGGCGAGTACGGAGACAACGCGGCGGAGTACGGCGGCGACGAGCCCGCGCCCCCCTCGCCCCCCGGGACGCCGAGCGCTACCCCGGCGCGTGCGTCGCCTCGCGCCCCGCCCGCGCCCCCCGCGACCCCCGCCCCGCCCCCGCTCGAGGCGCAGATGTCGGCGGACGGAGGGAGTGCGCCCCCCTTGAAGCGGCCGGGGGTAGCGCTAGGGGTGTTGCCTCTAGTTTGTTTAGGATTCTGAACACTTATTCCTTAAATTATAAACCAGTTCCATTATGATTTTATTTTTTACATTTATATAATACCTTATTTTAGTAGATTTTGAAATAAAATATCTCTTGATGGACTAATGTGATATTTAATTTGAATAAATCATGAATAAGAGCGAGTCCGTCACTTGAGTTTCTTCGTCTTCAAATCGACTCTCTTGTTTTTGAAGAATGATTTATGTTTCGTTTTCAAGTCGAGCTTCACTTGCGACAAGGACACGGGCGACTGCCGAGCGGAGGCGGCAGCGCGTGTTCATAGAACCAGTCGTCACAATCAGCGAAATAATGGAAACTTACCTTTAATGCGTAGCCGTTAAGTCGCATTTAGAATTAAATCTTGAAACGAACTGGACGAATTATTAATTGGGTTGAAAGTGTGATACAAATTTATACGACAATAACTTTCAACCGACGAAATACAAGAGTCAGGCCGACGGACCGACAGCAGGCGCCGGTTGCGCTGCGTGCTCGGTGAGGCCACAACTGTTCATTATTATTTTTGCATATTTCTTATATCTGGGTCATAACGAGTAAACCTTACCCACGGGACTTATGCAGCACATTTATTTGAGGAGGTGAACACGCACCTGAGGGTACGCATGTTGCGGGGCGGGGCGGGGCGCACGCTGGGCGGCGCCGGCTCGCCGACCGCCGGACAGCGCCTCGAACCGGCGGCGCACCTCGCTCGTCTGCAACACACCGCCGACACCGGCCACTACAGCACCCGCGCCACGCGCACACACTCACACGCAGCAGTGACGCATACGTCCAGCGCGTCGGCGTCCAGGCTGGTGTCGCTCAGGAAGTTGTAGAGCACGGGGTCGAGGGGGCGGGGGGGCGCGTCCTGCTGCGGCGCCTCCCCCTGCGCGCCGCCCCGCCCCGCCCCGCGGCCCGACAGCTCCTTCTGCACGTTGTCGATGGTGTTCTGCATGCTCTGGATTTTCTCCTGGAGCCGCTCCTGTGAACGGCGGCGTCAATCGTCACGCGGTGGTCTGTGCGGTGGACGTGATCGAGAACCTGCAGATACCTTTTCGTTCCTCATATCCAGAATAATAGACATCTGTTTGTTGAGTTCGTCTTCTTTGTCCTGAAATCAGTCGTGAAATTCTATTTAGGTTGGGTCAACTGACTCACGCTACGAAATGATTGTACAGGAGCGAGACAGACCGCAAGCATACGCTCCCGCTGGGCGGCCAGGTCCCGCGCGGCGCCCAGCGCGGCCTCCAGCTTGTGTCGGCGCTCGCCCTCGGCCTGCACGTCCCGCATGAGCGCCGCCACGCTGGCGCCCGCCGCCGCCTCGCGCGCCTCGCTCTCCGCCCTGCAACACGCGCGGCTGCACTGGGGCCCGCGCCCCGCCCCCGCCCCCGCGTGCCCCCTCGCTCTCCGCCCTGCAACACGCGCGGCTGCACTGGGGCCCGCGCCCCGCCCCCGCCCCCGCGTGCCCCCCTCACCTGAACGACTGGAACCGGCCCTGCACGTCGTCGTGGCGGGCCTGCAGCGCACTGAGCTCGGCGCGCAGGCTGCACACCGCGTCCGCCTTCTCGTCCTCCAGCGCGGCGGCGCGCGCCGTCAGCTGCTCCACCTGCGCGCTGGCGGCGCCCAGGGCCTGCAGGAGACAGAGGGGGTGGGGCGCGCGCTCGCGACGCGACACCGCGTTCGTATCGGAACTGTACTTCGTTCTGCCGCTCGAGGGTTCGCTGCCGAGAGTCGTTTTGTTCCTTGAGCTCTTCGACAGCACGCGATGATGCCTCGAGGGAAGCCTGCGCGTCCTGGATAAATAGTATTTACGAACAGATAATAAACAACATAGCGTTTAAAACGCGTTGACGCGCGTCGAGAGCCTGAGCGTGTCACCTGCAGCTGCAGCTGGAGACGCTGGTGCTGGTCCCGCAGCTCGGCGCCCTGCTGCTCGGAGAGGGCCAGGCTCCGCTGCAGCGCCGCCCGCGCGTCGTCGCTCCGCTGCAACCTGCGACACAGCCCCGTCTCAGCTGCCGTCCCGCGGCGACCGCGCGGCGGACGCGACGGGCGTTGCCGGTGCTAGTTACCCTAGCTTCAAATTCTCAATAGTATTGTCGGCTTCAACAATTCGATCTCGAAGCTCCTGTTGCAACCGTTCGATTTCCTTTTGAAGATTTTCAACGAAGTCTTCTTTCTGTAAAGAAGAGGGTTGTGTTGTGATGATGTATAACTAAAATTCAAGTTTCATACTATTTAGTAAATAGTAAGCTTGAAACAGAAAGCCAAAATTTGAAGTCGTCGTGGCCTAACGGATAAGACGTCCGGTGCATTCGTATGTAGCGATGCACCGGTGTTCGAATCCCGCAGGCGGGTACCAATTTTATCTAATGAAATACGTACTCAACAAATGTTCACGATTGATTTCCATGGTGAAGGAATAACATCGTGTAATAAAAATGAAACCAGCAAAATTATAATTTGCGTAATTACTGGTGGTAGGACCTCTTGCGAGTCCGCACGGTTAGGTACCACCGCCCCGCCTATTTCTGCCGTGAAGCAGTAATGCGTTTCGGTTTGAAGGGTGGGGCAGCTGTTGTAACTATAATTGAGACCTTAGAACTTATATCTCAAGGTGGGTGGCGCATTTACGTTGTAGATGTCTATGGGCTCCAGTAACCACTTAACACCAGGTGGGCTGTGAGCTCGTCCACTCATCTAAGCAATAAAAAAAAAAAAAATCCTCATTTATCACTTAACTGAATTGTATTGACATTTCAGTTCAACCAAAACATCAAAAGTATATTTTAGCAATTTTAAGCAAATAAAGTAAAGTTGTAAGGCTCGAATTAATTTCAACAATATTCATACATTCTTACAGACTGCTAAATTAGTACAGTGGGGGCTTGATAACTAGGATCAAGGTAGTAATGCGAGCGAACCTGCTGTAGTTTGCACCGTAGAAGCGTCCTCTCGGCGTCCTCCCGGGCCCGCGCCTCCTCCGCGCGCCGCTCCGCCCGCCCGCGCTCCTCCTGCGCCGCCTGCAGCGCCCGCCGCGCGCGCGCCTCGCTCGCCGCCACTGCCACACGGCGGGGCGGTTGAGCGCGGCCGGCCCCGCCCCGCACTCCACCGCCCCCCCCCCGGGCGCCGACTCACGCCCGCGGCGCGCGGCGCCTCGCTCTCGCCGCCATGCACACGGCGGCGGTGAGCGCGCCCGGCCCCGCCCGGCCCGGCCAACGGCGGCGGTGAGCGCGGCCGCCCCCGCCCCGCCTCCACCCGCCCCCCCCGCGCCCGCACTACGACCGCGCGGCCGCGGCGCCCGTCGCTCGCGCCACTGCACACGGCGGGCGGTGAGCGCGGCCGCCCGCCCCCGCTCCCACCCGCCCCCCCCCCCGCCCCCGGCCCGCACTCACCGCCGCCGCGCGCGCCCCTCGCTTCGCCGCCAACTGCACACGGGGGCGGTGAGCGGGGCACGGCCCCGCCCCGCCTCGCACCCCCGCCCCCCCCCCGCCCCCGGCCCGCACTCACCGCCCGGCGCGCGCGCGCCTCGGCTGCGCCGCCACTGCTACACCGGCGGCGGTGAGCGCGGCCGCCCCCCGCCCCCCGCCCCCCCTCCGGCCCGCACTCACGGCTGGTCGCGCAGTCGTCGCGGCGCTCGGCGCAGCCGCAGCAGGCGCGCTGCAAGCTCGTGCGCGCAGGGCCGCCGCACCGGCAAGCGCGCGTGCGCAGCGCGCCGCACAGCGCGGAGCGGTCGGCCGCGGCCCGCGCGCCCGCCGCCCGCGCCCGCGCCGCCGCCTCCTCCAGCACCGAGCACACGCGGCGCGCGCCCTGCACTCTGCACAAATCGTGTGCCTAATGTTACTGATCTCACTAAAACTAAATATTTTTCATAAAATAGAAAGCAAAATACGTACTTAATAATTGTTCACGATTGACTTCCATGGTTTTCATGTAATAAAAATCAGTCCCGCAAAATTCTAATTTGCGTAATTATGTCTTGTGAGTCCGCACGGATAGGTACCACCACCCTGCCTATTTCTGCCGTGAAGCAGTAATGCATTTCAGTTGGAAGGGTGGGAAAGCCGTTGTACTATAAAAGCTGACCTTAGATCTAGACCTTAGAACTTATGTCTCGAGATAGGTGGCGGTATTTACGTCGTGTCTATGGGCTCCAGTAACCACTTAACACCAGGTGGGCTCTATGCTCGTACACCCACATAAGCAATAAAAAATAATAATAAAAGATTTTTATAAACAATGATTCTATTAAGTTAATGCATAGCTTTTATCGCGGGTTTTGAGCGTGGCGACCGAATCAAGAAATTCCGTAACGAAAATAAAACCTAACACCCCCACTCTGCCTACGATGTAGCTCGCGTTCAACACATTCACACGTTGCGCTTGTGTAGTGTTAAGTGTGAATAAGCGCGCGGCGTGATGTCCAACAGCATGCGCATCATGAAAAGTCTGCCCATCTCTCTCTCGCGCGGCCTAGCCTGTGAGTGTGAAGGGGACAGTTAATGTTTTGCTTTTGTTAATGTTTATAAATATAGCGTGGTCTTATTTTATTATTGTTTAATATTAAATTATTATTGTCTAATTATAATTGCATAAGTTGATAAAAAATGCTACGCAATAGTTTTACCGCGGCAGACCCCGCGTGCCACTCATGTTTTTTTATCTTTCTGCTCAGGATATTGGTTTGAATATTGTTACGCCGGTCAACGCCATCTATCACCGAATAGTCGAACGAATATTGAAGGATCTAGAGAACGCTCGGGAAGTACAATGCCATCTATTGTCAGATAGCGGAAACACAATACTAGAAATGTGTGGAATACTCTCGATAATTGTAGGGATGTGATATCGGCTATAAAAGCGTTGCAGAGATGGCACGCACTCAGTGAGCAATCGGAACTACTCGAAGCGAACGGATCACATGAAGCGAAGCGAAAGAAGCGAAGCGAAACTTTAAGGTGTTTGTGAAGTGTTTTAAGTGTTCTAACTGCTAATACAGTTTTCAATTTGTACTTCGGTAGAATTTTTATTTATCCCAAGCCCCAGCCCGTAACAATATTTTATACTTTTTCTACAAACTTAAGTACAATATCTGTGATAACATCTGTGTTATTGTACACCACAACAAAAGGGAAAACAATAAATCTTTCAAGTATCCAAGTCATGACTACATGCATGCGACATGCTTGGTGTAGACATTAAAGAAGTGTTTTGAAGTCATCAATGAGATCATAAACTGACATTCGAGTCTTACACAGAGTTTAAAAAATTAAGTATCTGTTTGAATAAAGACAATGATAATGTCATTTGAAAACAACATGATAACTAAAAATAACATTAGGTAGGTAATTAAAGATTAATTTTCTATAATAGGAAACCTCTTAAGGGTTTTTTTTGTGTGAATCACAGAAAATAATTCAAAATAAGTAATGTTTATTATTAAAGTTCATTGAAAAGAGAAATAACTGAAAATGAGTACATAGTATTTAGTTGTAACCAACAAGCTGGCTGAGGTTATGGGCCAACTCTTCTCAGGACTGTGGTACTTTTATTTTCCAGTTATAACATGTTGTAAGATTCAAAAAGTAAGCTTTAATGACATTTGTGTTGAAATAAATAATTTAAATTATAATTTGAAGTTCATTTTAACAAATAATCAAAACAGGACTTATCAAAGGCATTGCATGCCTAACTTTTTTTTTAAGTTAGTATTGATGTGTTATCCAATGATAACACATCACTACTAACTTAAAAAAAAAAGTTGCCCCAATGGGCAAATTTTATTTGTAAAACATTCTAAATCAAAATTAAATATCATTTATATTTTAATTGAACTTATGTACATATTATGTACGCAGTAGTATGCATTAATACTTTTTATTTGTGAAAATCTCTATGTTATAAATACTACAAATAATACTTGTTATAATGTGTTAAATTGTTCCTCATCTAAAACTGTGTAGTGTGCTCTTCAATCAACAACTGAGTCACAACCATATGATGTATCATACCATAACCATATGAATATCGCTAATATAATTTATTAAATATATTAAGAAGGCACCTATTTAGTTATATCAAAACTACTATACCAAACGTAAACATGGCCTTATTTTAATTACCCGCTAGAAATATTGATAAAAAAAAACTTCGATTACTTGTTGAGAGTCTCCGGTCGGAGCCGCAGTTCGTCCTGGTATTGTCCGGAGGTAGCCTCGTGCTGCATCTGGACTTCTACCATGTTCTGTTGCAAGCGTTCGTGATTCGCTTCCACTTGTTGTAGTTTCTCTTTTAAGTCCCAGTAGGCCGTGTCCTGGGCCACCTTTTTATAGGATTTTATATTTATACTATTCAATGAAACGTTCCTTTTTTGTAATAAATTAATTTGTACAAACCTTTAATTTAATTATTTTCGCCGTTTCACGAGAAACTTTTTCTCGTAGTTTTTCAGCATCTTCACTGATTCGTTTTCTGCTTGCTACTTTCGTAATATCAGAGATATCCATCTTTAGGTTTTTCAATTTGTTTTTTTTTAGTATACGATTTAAAGATTTTTTCCGTTTGTTTGTATGCTTGTGGGGCGTTTCGTTTAGGAAATATGTAAATTTGTATGTATGTATTGATTTTAATTTAAATTTCAATTGCTGAAATGGCGGGAAATGTATTTTTTTAAGGGATTTTATGACCTGGTAACTAAGATCTTTAAGTCATGTCTTATTTTAATTTATTTTCTTATTTTTATGAAAAATGATGATGTGGAGTGAAACAATGAAATGAAGATTAATTTGAGACATTAATCAACTGGGATGAAATTAAATGAAATGAGATGAGATGATATGGGATAATAATAATAATGTCAGTAAAATTGTGGTAATTTACTGAGATTTTCTCAATAGACTTTTTGGAGGATCCCGAGAAGTTACGTCCAGCGGCTTTGTTTCATTTGTCCACATTTGTGCACTTTCACAGATATTAAGCAGTTAATAAGCCACCGTTATTACTAGAGGTCGGAGTACGTAGATTGATTTAAGGTCGTTGACGTCAAACATAGAGGTTAATATGGATATGCCTCAAAAATACCGGAACTTCATATTTATTGTAATACTAGCGACCCGCCCTCGCTTCGCTTCGGAAACATTAAATTTTATTATTGAATAGTTGAGTCCCGCGATGTTACCCGCGGTTATTGTCGTATTGCGGGTGACACCGTGGGGCGAAGCTAGTCTAAAAAAAGTAGCCTTTTACTTAGGTTACTCTTTAGTTACTCTTTATATCATCAGATACCTATTAGTGAAAGTCTTATCAAAATCGGTCCAGCCATTCCAGAGATTAGCCGAAGCAAACAGACACACAGACAAAAATTGTAAAAAATGTTATTTTCGTTTATGTAGCGTATATATATTCATATGCATGTAGTAAAACGCGGTTATTTCAATACTATAAAACAGACACTCTAATTTGATTTATATGTATAGATTTGTTCCGGAATTTTGAAATTAGCATGAATCTGTGTTTATGGTGAAAATGGTATTAATAATATCAATCTACGCTACCAGTGCTAGCTAATGATGAAAGAAATCAGCATTTTATTTTATACAAAAACACCTTGGAATAGTTGCACCGTATTTTGTCCCTTTCTGTTGAATTAGAAATGACGCTTGTCAATATGAGACAAAACTTAGGGCTTTTTGTTATTTTATCTCATTTTCATCTATGTTCACAACGCATCGACCGCACGCAACGACCAATCAGAAGCAAGTATCCTGTATGACTCATTGGCTGTTTGTTAGAAAAAACGATGCACACGCGCTGTGTTACAGGTATCTCACTCGCTTACCTCGGTTCGTAGAGTGCACCCCTACTTTGTGAAATTCCTGTGTTGTGTAAATATTAATCTCACCCTGGCTTGTTTACTGATTTTGGTACCTTCTTAAAACGACGAATTTGGCTTGTATCTACGTGTGTTTGTATGTTTTAGGACTTTTTTTAAAGCATAATGTTAACATTGATTAAAAATTTTGTTTTTAAATAATAATTATGGATAAAATGGCTTGTCCATATTATAATATCTTGACGCAAGTATATAAAATCAATCTACCTACTCCGACCGCTGATTATTACACATTTAAGCCTGAAGAAACATTATATAGACAAAATAAAATAAAGCACACAACTTCACTCCTCGCGTTCCCGCCAAAAAAACCCGGAAATGTATTGTTTATCTATGATTTCTCAATTTTTTTTAAGGAATTTTATGACGTGGTAGCTAAGACTTTAGGTCAATTCTTATTTTAATTTTAATAAAAACTTTTTTTATGTATAAAATGATATTATGAAATGAAATGAAGTTAATTAATATGAAACTTGGCATGTAATGAAAATGAAATGATATGGGATGAAATATAATCTCAGTAAAATGGTGGTCATTTACTGAGACTTTTTTAGTGGACTTTTTGGAGGATCCCGAGAAGCTACGTTCAGCGGCTTTGTTTCATTTTTCCACATTTGTGCACTTTCACAGATACAAAACAGTTAACAAGCCACCGCTATTACACATTTAAACCTGAAGAAACACAATAGACAAAATTAAACAAATCACACTACTTTCGCGTTCCCGTTAAAAAGTCTCAAATTGTCCCCACACGGGCAGTACTTCCAATTAAGATTAAACAGCTCACTGTCTACCTTAATAAAAACAATCTCCTCAACTCTTTTCAGTCTGGTTTCCGCCAAGGCCACAGCACGGTCACTGCATTGCTCAAGGTCACTGACGACATTCGCCACGCGATTGATGTGGGGCAGCTAACCGTGTTGACCTTATTGGACTTCAGCACTTTTAACTCAGTAGACTTTGACATCCTTTTAAGTATCCTTGGATCTCTTAATATATCTCCACTTGCTCTAACCTGGTTTGAATCTTATCTTCGGGGACGCTCGCAGTGTGTCCGCTCTGATGATGCTACATTGAAATGGTATGACTTAGCTGCGGATGTACCTCAAGGTGGCGTACTATCTCCTCTCCTTTTCTCTATTTTCATTAATAAAATCACTCAGGTGCTGACTTCTCACTACCATCTCTACGCTGACGATTTGTAGATTTATAGACATTTTAAAGCTGATGATGTTGTTCTAGCTATTGCTGAAATCAATGGAGATCTTGGTAGAATTGGTGCTTGGGCTAAATCTTTTGGACTTCTTGTGAATCCATCAAAATCACAGGTCATAGTAATTGGTAGTTCCTATAGGTACAACACGATTGACCACATTAATTTGCCCCCTGTGACGCTAGATGGAATTCCAATCGCTTATTCTAAAACAGCCAAAAACCTAGGTATCGTTCTTGATTGTCATCTCTCTTGGTCCAGTCAGATAAATTTAGTTAGCAGGAAAGTGCATTGCACGTTTCAGTCTCTCAAGCGTCTTCAGCGTTTCTTGCCCATTGAAGCTAAAGTCACCCTGGCCCAATCCCTTATGCTTCCTCTCCTTGACTATGCGGATGTCTGTTTCCTAGACGCCGCGGAGGGGCTATGGAACAAACTGGAAAGGTTACAAAATTTATGCATACGCTTTATTTTTGGTTTACGCAATTTTTTTTTTTTTTTTTTTTATTGCTTAGATGCAAGGGCGGATCCAGCTTTGGTGCCAGGAGGGGGTCACATAGTCATGGTCAAGTCAAGAACTTATAATTTAATTTTGATAACAATAGATACAAGTAAAAAGTAGGTATTTTATTATAAGTACATTAAAGGTATAAGCACATTAAAGGTATAAAGAAATTTTAGTTTTTTAACTTAGAACTATGTTATGATATGTTGAAGTTTAGTCGTTCCGATTCCGATTGAGGTTAGGATTCAATTTGAGGTTAGGCCTAGCTAGACGTTACGTATAGTCGGATTTTTAATTAGACGAAGCCAGCTGACAGTAGCTAATGTCACTTTGTGAAATAATGTTGCTATATTTAAAGTAATAGTGATGCGTTCAGCTCTCGTTGAATCACATGAATGAACAATGAGTGTGAAGAGTTAATCATTAATTTCAAATTATAAAAGAATATAATTTATATTTTACAATAAAATTGTATTAAAGTGATCCAATATATGTTACTAGTAGTATGTAACTACAATCAGGTTTTTTTTATTTTCATTACCTACCTATAATTGTTATATTTTATACATCTATAGTTTCAACTATATGATGTATTGGAAATAGGACAGTCTTACAAGTTTCCTCGCAATGTTTTTCTTAATGTTTAAAACACTCGATATTCGGTACAGGTAGATACTATAGGAACATAATATTTCGTCGAAAAGTCGTTGGTATATACAAAGCACGCCTAAAATTCGAACCCCGTACCCGATATCGGCAATTCGGCACACCGACTATTCACCAGACAATCGAGGCAATTTCATTAATTCAGGAGTTTTTTCAATCGTTCACTTTGTCACAACACTATTTTTATTTCATCAAAAACTGACAACACAGTAAACGTCAGTTGACTTCGTCTAATAAAAAATCCGACTATAGTCGACAAGTGCGCGCGAGTGTGGCGCGGTAAAATTCAAATTTTCGATGCGTTCGTTCCCAAACATTTGCCATCATACAAAGTTATTATATTATATTAAATTAATTAAGGAGCATTATAAGGAGCAACAATATACCTAGTCTTGCCATAAATACTGAAACAAAGGAAAAAAAAAATTCTATTGCAAATAACATTTATTACTTTCACAGTGTGTTAGTTTAATACATAAATATAAAAACAATTTAAAGTACAAAAAGCTTATTCGAAGTGGTCTCCATTGGCTGCAATACAGTCCTTTAAACGTTGAGGCCAGTTATCAATAGAAGCACGCACTCTTTCCATGGGAAAAATTTTCACTGCTAATCGTGCGGATTGTTTTAGGGACTCCAAATTATCATGGCGTTTAGAGCAAGCCGTACTCTCTAAAACTGACCATAAATCATAATCCAGCGAATTAAGATCGGGACTAGACGACGGTCAGTCTTCAGCTCTGATGAAGTCCGAAACGTTCGTTTCCAACCAAGACTGCGTAGACCGAGCTTTATGACCTGGCGCCGAGTCTTGCTGGAAGGACCATTCTTGATTATTGAACATGGTGTTGTTAAGGGGCTTCACTACCTTCTCAAGAATCGTATCTTGATACACTTGTGCCGATGTTATGATACCTTTTTCACAAAAGTATGGCTCAGCCACTCCTTGATAGCTAATACCCCACCAAACCATCACTGAAGTTGGATAGTGCCCACGTTGCACTCTGTCGACTAATTGGGAAGCTTCCTTAGAGCTTTGAGCATAAATACGGTCATTTTGTTTGTTAAAATGTTGCTCAATTGTAAAAAAATTCTCATCCGTAAACAAAATTTTTCTATGACCTCCCTTTGCGTACCGTTTCAGTAGTTGTTTCGATTTTACCCCCCATTCTCTTTTAAATTATCAGTTAAGAAATGACCACTAGGTTTCTTATAGGCTGCAAGTCTTAAGTCAT